CAGGACATGTGTTGAATTCAAAACACTGTCCTCTTTCACTGGCCTGATTTATCCAGGACACATCTATGGAAACAGAAATTTATTTTTATTCATCTATCCTTAGCCCCTTAAATCCCTGGATCGCCATCTTCGCTTCCAATGGTGACAAACCACAAATTTAAGCTCAAGCCATATCTGCGTAGATACGTGGAGATAAAACTTAAGAGAAGTAAAAGAGAGGAAGAATTTAGATCATATTATAAATCAGCAGCTTTTAATGTTAGCCAATAAGGAAATAAAAGCAGGTGTGGTCGTTGACCCGGATACTAAATCTGAACAGCACATTAGAGGTGCCATCTTTCACCTTAGAAATATTGCAAAGGTCAGTCCACTCCTCCTTCTGGAGGAAGCTGAAAAACCGCCACCTGCTTCAGTGGCTGAGCCACAGAGAAGACAGAAGCTGCAGGTACGACACGTTCAGGATCGGGACTTGAAGGTGTGTGTAACCCTGACTTACATAGGTTGAGTTGTTGTGCTCACTGACAGCCGTTTTCCCAGGTGCAAACACAACTTAAGTCAATCGCAGCTTTTGCAGGCGGGATTCAGAACCGGGATGTTATCTTCCCGTCCCAGAGCCAGAAGAAAAACAGTTGAGATTAACGCTGCCTCACACAGAAGCTGTTCTCAGTTGACTTACAGAAACAGTAACTCTTAAACCCACACGTCTTTGATTGACGTGGCAAATATTAAGATAAGGACCAGCATTTAACCACGTCTGTGTCCCCTGTAAATGAAGTAGACGGGACAGATACTGACTGGTTGCGGCAAAATAACATTCACCATATGAAATAAAGATGTGAAAACAAAATGGCGGTTCTTATCCATGCCGAAGACTGCAGCAGAAGCTCATATTGAGGAAGTTTTCAGATTCTCTGGGCTCTGAAACAGACATACAAGGAACCAGCGACATCGTACAGTAACTGATGGCAGATCACAAAAACATTTTCACTGCCTCACTTCATCTCTGATCTCATGTTGTCCGAGTCTGTGTTAGGGCTGCACGATATGCATATTGCGATACGAGTCATGATTTCAGTCGGGATGATCGTTTTTGCATTTCCACTGAAAAGAATTTAAAAAAAAAGATGATGATGTGATTTTTATTGGGGCTTGTACCAGATGAACTTGTTTCTGTCTGAGGAACATGATTTATAGGCCGGGAGCGTCCCTGTTGCAGCAACACCATGTTTACGTTGCTAACAACCCACAACAATGTTGTGACACATTTTTACCTTCATTAAAAAAAATTTGCAAATGTGAGGCACATTGTATTAAATGGCTTATAGACTGATTAACTGATTGACTGTAAACTTTATCAGCTAATGGTTCGGTGTTTCACAGTGATAGTAGTTGTCCACACAGATCCAAATGATCCATTCATTTGCATAGATATTGTTCTTGAAGCCAGACTGTGTTTACAGATTAAAGAAACAACTTGCATTAAGTTTGAACCCTGAGAGCCAAATAATCCTCACTTCATACAGATAATAGCTCGGCTTCAGATCATACGTGTGTGTGTGTGTGTGTGTGTGTGTGTGTGTGTGTGTTAGCACTCCCACTGGGAGTTTCAGTACTGGGTTAGCATTACATTTATATTTTAGATATTAAGCTGGCACTCTCCAGACTAGCTCACAATGACTGAGCGTGTTCAGTCAGTGACTCGGGGACGACAGCGGCTCACACAGCTGTTCGCAGACACAGTCGGGTCTCTACAGGGGTTTCGAACCCGCGACCCTGCCGTTACAGCCCGCTCTCGCTGCAAAGATTACTTATTTCAGGATAATGATTTAATGCAGCGCGGAGGACAAAAGGCTGGCACTGGTGCGTCACATCTCATCATGCTCAAAAAGCCATTTAGTTGTAAATGAAGTGGTTCAATCCACTTTTTATTATGGAATCAGCTCAAATAATCTCATCCTCACCAAGATCCACTTTCAAATTTGCTCGGCTTAATGATTTTCTTTTTTAAATGGCTTTTGTACCATTTTGAAATGAAACAAAGCAGGTTTGGTTACTGTGCGAGTCGAGGCTTTAGACAATAGTGACACCATCATTTCCAAATAACAAATATCTTCTTGTCCAACAAACAATATAAAATAGACTTAATGACAAACTTATTATCAACATGGTCATTTGTGTTTTTGTTGATCCGCTGATGGATTAAATGGCTAATCGTTACAGCTCTACATGACTGAACTGAATATCTGATTATTTGACTGGAGGTTGAGAAAACTATTTAAAGACATCACCTTGAAGTTATGATGGACATGGTTCATTATTTTCTTACATTTCATAAACTGAACTAAGTGAAAAAGTAATCAAATCTGACAATGATCATCTCAGCCTTAAATAAATCTGTTTTCTCTACAGAATTCATCACACTGAAGGAGCTTTTGACGCCTTCAAATCAGTGATTCCTCTGATGTTTTCATACCTGGCCTCACATTTGCCTTCACACGAGTGACTAAGCTGAATAAAAACCTTGCCTGCTGGAGAGATTTCCTTTCTTCAATCCCAAGTTTCTCCTCGGTGCATTTCTCACCTCCTAAATATGCCTCGGGGTAGGAGGAAGGAAAATCTGAGCGCTGCCTGGCATTCTAAATTCTTGAGATTAGCTTGCTATGTCAGCTTAGCATCCGCCCAGATTCATTTCTGTGTCGCTCCGCTCGCCTCCACCCCTCTGTCATCATCATCAGCAGCAGCAGCAGCAGCAGCAGCAGCTGCAGCGACTCAGTTAGCTCAGTTAGCTCCCTTCCCTACTGTACTTGTAAGTGCACTACTGATGCTAAGTTAGCTCCCTTTCCCTACTGTACGTCTAAGTGCACTCGAGCAGAGCCCATTTGGGGCTGCTGGTTGCCATGGCGCCGCTCCATCCTTCCCACAGGAACGGCACTGGCGCGAGGAGAGTTGAGTGTGTGACGGGAGATGTCAGGCCATGAGAAAGTTCAGTGCAGTCTTTTGAATCAAAAACACAGCCGGTCTAAATTTAGGAAACAGGGTGGGGCTGCGTGGAGGCAGGAGGAAGATGACATTTGCCGCATTTTTCCTTTTTAAGCGTGATTGTTCCAAGAAGAACTGGTACACTGACAGAACCCCCAAGGGAACGCCGGGAATGAAGGGAATGCAGTGAAATTGTGCAGAACAGGAAAACCTCTGCATGCTGGGTATTTACATCATTAGTGTGAAAACGCTTTGCTTCCTATTCCCAGGGAAAGAAAGCACAGAGGGGAGAAGGCCTGGTGCAACGCAACGGGCAGCTAACTCTCCCTCTGCTGGAGTAAAATCCCTTCACGTGGGTGAAGTCAATACTCTCTGTGGCACTGTGATCGGTTCGGACTTTAAAAAGTCAGAGTGCCACGTCTCTGCTTTCATTTTTCCACAGTCGGTCATTGTCCGAACTATCCTCCCATCTCCACAGTCAGCTGATGTGTCTGGCCTCTAACGAGATGAAACAAATCTTAATTAAGAGAAGTACTGTCTGAGAACTGTATCAAACGTAAAGCCCTCGCTGCTGGTGTGCTTGTTTGAAAAAACAACCATCGCATAAGAATAGAGCAGCTGTGAGATTCAAGAAACGAGGCGACATGTGACTCAGTATATTCTCATCTGTAACTGCATTCCTCTCTGCTAATTAATGTATAGTCACCACTTCTTGATAAAACAAATCTAGAGTGATGTCGACTTTTGTTCAGACGCACATCAGCTCGTTTCACATGTTTCCTTTAAACGAAATGACATATTGATATTAAGAGAAAGACAAAACTTCTTCTACACTGAGTCACTTTTCAAAGTCAAACTCTGAAACACTGGAAATAAGACGCCTAATAAAAATGACAAAACTTTCTTCTATCAAGTGTATTCTGAGCAGTTCACAGCCGTCTGCATTAAAACCAACCAACATTATTGATGCCGAGTGTTCGTGATCCTTTCATACAAATGAATTGTGACTCTTTGCTGCAGGTGCAAACATTTGTCAGCGGTGTAATTGAAAAGTCAGCCACTTCACCACAAAGCAAAAGTCAAATAAAAGAGAGAAAACCAAAAACCAGTGAACATCTCTGTGGTAGAGTTTTGCTTTTGTTTCGTTTTTTTTCTTCTCCAACAAACTTCCCGCCACCTCTCGCATTCATCTCAAACCCCTTGTCATGGTCTCGACCCACAGCGTGTGAACCATCACTTTAAAAGACACAACTTTCAAACTAATTCCATCTCCATTGGTTGGATGATCATCACAGAGCAAACATGCCTTTTGAGAAAAAAGATGATTGTAAAGCAAAGAAAATGACGACATGTATTCACCGCTATCACGCTCAGAAGTGTGTTGTACACAACTGCTAAAGGATGCTTTAGTGTAGGAGGAGTTTAAGTGTATCGGCAGGGGAAAAAACAAAGTGCAAAAAACAGGAATAACATCTCACATCCAGAACCTTTCCAACAACCATAAGCAGGACGGACAAACTGGGGGTTTTTGAGGAGGAGCATTTGGGATGTTCAGAGAGTCACAAAAACACTTAGAGAGAGGACAGAGCAACACACTGAAGCCAGCAGGAGAACTTTCTACTCTAGCGGGAACAGGTGAAACAACAATTAGACACGACAGGGAGGACAGCTCAGTGCAAAGATTAGGAAAACAGGCTGCCGTGGGGAGAGGAGCGCCCTTCTCCGGGGCAGGAAGCACCACAACACAACAACCCACAACCCAGGGTCAGCTGAGGCCACCGCACACACACAGAGAGAGAGAGAGAGAGAGAGATAGAGAGAGAGAGAGAGAGAGAGAGAGAGAGAGAGCGGGAGAGAAAACATGAAGTTGGTGACACAAGACAACGCAAATGTTTCAGCTACGCTCTGAAGCAGGAGCATGACACACAAACAGAGCAGCTCTGAGTTGCCTTCAGGAGCGCACGGCGAATCCACCGCAGCGAGGGGTAAACACAGAACTGTAGCACGGGGTGGGCGCTCACCGTGTGGTATCCCCGGGCTATGGGCGGCTTTCCGGTGGGGTACGGATCCACGGTGTCGATGATCGTCTGCCTCTCCCCCTTCTGGTTGATCTTCCGAAAGCGCCGGCGGGACTGTCTGTGCGAGGCTTGTCGCTGGAAGTACTCCTCATTTTCATCCATATAGTCCACCTGGAAACGATAGGGAGGGAGGGAGGGAGGGAGGGAGACAGAGAGAGAGAGGGGGGTGTGACTGCCTTTCGTCTTCATTCACGCCCATCCCCACTCCCCCCCCATCACAAAAACACAAACACACACTCATCCTGAAAACCCCACCCTCCTATACTCCATCTCTGATTCTGACACCACCACCACCACCTCCTCCTCCTCCTCCTCCTCTGAGTGAGTGTTCTCACCGCCCACCCCTCTCATTGCGTAAAAATAGAAGTGTGCATGTGGGATGCACGATGCACACCTACGTCAAAGGAGGGTGCTCACAACACAAAAAGAGCGACGGAGGGAGAAAGAAACGGAGGCTTGAGAGAGGATTCTGCATGAAAGCGGGAGGAGAGAGGGAAGAGGGACGAACAGATTGGCGGACGGAGATAAACAAGAGATGAAGCCTGGCGGAGTGAGGGAGATGAAACAGAGACACTCTCGACTCTGTCGCCGTCAAACATATTAACCACAATGAAATTACATGTTAAAACAAGATAAAAATCCATGTTTCCATTTTTAATGAACTGGGAGGAGGAGGAGGAGGAGAAGGAGGAGGAGGAAAAAACATTTTCCAAGTGGAAACTGGCACATGATGCAGCTTTAGCACAGAAGTCAGTGAAGTTATCTTCTACATGCTACTTAAATGAGACCACGCTGACGGCTTTGGGTCATGATGGAATGACATATTTAAGTTTTTTTTCTTCTTCTTAATTTTAGGCCGATTCCTCCTCTCCTCTCCTCTCCTCTCCTCTCCTGCTAAGTTCACTGCGGCTTCACATTTCACAGCGCTCAGCCTTTGGGATTACACCACTAAAAAATCTCTCTCTCTCTGCCGTACCAACTGCTGCCATGACAACGGAAGGGGAGTTGTGTGTGTGTGTGTGTGTGTGTGTGTGAGTGAGTGCATGAGTGTGATTGTGTGTCTAATTGCAAATCTCTGAGTAATGTGTGCATGTGTGTGTACAGTATGGACACGTGAGCCGTGTGGTTGTCGTCTATAATAGTATAATACCTATACCTTCCTATAGTAGTGAAAGGAGTGAAGCCACAAAGTGTCAGCAGCGGGCAGAGTGCAGGGTGTTATTACTGGGGGGGGGGTCGTGTTGTGTGATAATAAAATACGGCATCGTTAAAAAGAGATCTAGACTTTAGAGGACATTTACCAAAGCAAAGGAATGATAAGCTAGAAAAGGTAGAAAAAGCAGGGAATGTAATGGTGAATCAACTGAAAAAATGTGGTGTGACTGCAACCGTGCCAACCAGTCATTACTCCAACATGTCAAGACACGGGTTATATTTGATATCTCCTTTAAAAAAAACAAAAAAAATGGTAACTGAAGGGTTTGTACGTGCTGGAGATATGTGTGTGTGTGTGTGTGTGTGTGTGTGTGTGTGTGTGTGACTTTACAGTGGCAGCATCCAGCATGTTAGAAAACTAAAGGCTGCATCGTGTCATCTCAGCTCCAGTCAGGTGGTCAGCTTGCAGTCATACTGGCTTCACTCTCCGCTGTGTGTGTGTGTGTGTGTGTGTGTGTGTGTGTATGTGTGTGTGTGTGTGTGCAGCACTCAAAATATTTGCACAGCTTTGTTCACAGCTCTCAACACACTGTTGCCTGCAACTGGTTGTGATAAAAATACTAATTATGTTCTACATGTGTGAACTGAACTGAGGTCAGTGTTTGTTTTAGTTTTAGCTTTTTTCCAGTGTTCACACCTTTGGTCCCATTTCTTCTTTTTTAAAATGTGATTTGTGGTTAGTTATACGTTATACATAGTTATAAGTGTGGATACAGTTAAATCAGAGTCTCTGGTCTGAGGTTTTGATTGAAGACACTGTTGAGCAGTAGTTCCCGTTCATGCAGCTGTGATAATTGTGGGATTAATCGTTTAGTTGATTTTGATAATTAATTGATAGAAAACAAGTAAAAATGTCAAACATTTTCTACTTCCAGCTTCTCCGTTGTCAGGATTTGTCTCCTGTATTTTTAGTTTCTGGACTTTTTGCTTGGACAAAACAGGTTTTAGGAAATTGTGAATTGTTTTCAGTATTTTGAGACATTTCACTGACAAAGCAATGAATCGGTTGGTGGAGAAAATAATCTGCAGATTACGAGATAATGAAAATGTCATTAGTTGCAGTCCCATGATTTGTTAACACCCACACACACACACACTGATACTATTCCCCATGAAAAGTTATAACTGAATAAAACTACGGTTTACGGTCCAGTTTAGATTCAACCCTCCAGACCTCCTCTCCAGTCATATTATCTCACAGCATTGTGATTAGCAGCTGTTTCGGATTTGCACAAGGTGGATTTTGTTTCGAGCGCAGGCTACGGCCGATTGGTGCAAAATCATCAGCAGAACTGCATCTGTTGTGATCTCCGGGCCTCGGAGGGGGCTTCTGTTCAACAGATGACTGTATTGTGCTGCTACCTCTCGCTTCTGTGCCCCACTGAGACAGGAGTGATTTGTTCTCAACAACTTCTTCTGTGAGCCAGCTTTTGATTTTCCATAAAACTGGGTCAGAGTCTCCACCGGCCTTGGACTCGTGCAACCCCACGAGTTGGAAGGACTCCAGCAAAGACACAGTTAAATACTGCTGTGATAAAATATCAATAGGAGAGCTGCTTACACAGATTAGTCTGAAACATCACAGGGACGACTCTCAAGGACATTATTTCAAACCATAACCACACTCTGTTGTAGGTAATGTGCATCTGATGATCCACATGGGTCCAGTTTGCTCTTACTACATGATGGAATTACAAAATCAATTATTAGCATTATTAGAGTTTCAGCTTCAGTTTTTTTGGACACTGTCGGTTTTCATTCAAACCTCAAAATCCGGGATTTATTAAGCTCGGAAATGACAGACACAATTAAGTACTTGTTATGTTGGAAAAGAGTTTGACACCGTGGCAGTAAGTGCATGAAATATGATTTATATTAAAGCAGGTTGAACAAAAACACAACGCTGCTGCTGTGATTTTATGTTTTTCCACCGTTTCTCTGTAAAAAGCTTCGTCACAATAAAAATTTATCACTCTATTTTGTGAAAGTTTTGTGGTGCGTTTGAGGTTGTGTGTGTGTGTGTGTGTGTGTGTGTGTGTGTGTGTGACAGTGACACTTGTGTGTTACAAGTCAGAAAAATGGGACTCACCACAATCATCTCTGAGGGTTCCAGGACGATGCACTCACATCCGCGTCGCAGGCTGCCTGCTGACCGCTTCCCAAAACTAGAGGAGGAAAAATAAAATCATATGAAAAAAAAATCAACATTCACCTAAAGAACAGTGCAGAAGAAGTTATTTGCCTGTAGCATCTGTAAACGAAAGCACCTTGGCGTGAATCTTTCCAGTCTGAGCGCTCACACAGACACAGCCGTGAAGCACGTAGACGTCTGCGTGAGTCTATAAGAGCCGCTGTGGCCAACAACATCTTAAATATGGAAGTATGGAATTCTTGTATAAAAATGTGAGACAGGGCAGCATTGAAGGGACAGTTCCCCCTTTCAGCTGTGAGCCCTCCCACCTGGAGGGAAACACCCGCCTCTGGAAAAGTCCGCTCTCATGACGTCACAGCCTCACTCCTAATGAAGGAAGGGGGGGGGGGGGCGTTGACCGGGGAATATTAAAAGCAGCAGAGACCGAAACGCCTCGCAGAAGGGCAGCAGCTCTGGAAACTCTCTCTGGAAACTGAGCATGAGGAGATCCAACTTGCGGGTCGGGTAAAGAATGGTGCCTTTGTCCGGCGCCTCGGGCTCGACGCGGAGACATAAGGACTTCCTTGTTTGTTATTTCTATCATCGTTCGATTGAGAACGTGACCCACATCTTGTTGGTTTGCTGATTGTTTTGTAAGATAAACTCAAGTGACTCCAAAAGGACAGGCTGCTGCTGAGTTTGTGTCCCGCCCCTCGTGTCGTGTGCTGCTGCTTTACATTATTTAGATTCACGAGCTCAATTCTCATCGCAGCCTTTCGCATCCATTTATTCTGAGTTTTTGGAGCTGAGATAATTAAGTCTATTAATCAATTTGTCAATTACAGAAAATGAATCCACGGTTGATCAACTGATTAATTGTTTGAGTATCAAAATTCTCAAATGTTAATATTTTCTGGTTTCTTTGTGTTTACTGAAAGAAACTGAGAACTTCTGAAAGTCACTGGGCATTTTCATTGTTTACAGATTTTTTTATTGATCAAAAAAATCAATTACTAGATTAAACAATATGAAAATATTGTTAGTCGCGGCCAATTTTATTCATGTACTTTTACAATTTATATTAGACTTTAATTTGATGATTTTATTATCTTTATTTTATTTCTATCAATTGTTAATATTTTGTATTTTTTTCTTTCATAAATCTTTTAATTTCGTTGTTTATATTGTTTTTATTTCTATTTATTTATTTTTTTACTCTGCAAGTATTTTGATCATAATAACTTTTCAGGCAAAAATGAAAAATATTTGCAGCTTCCAGCTTCTAAAATATGAGGATTTCCAGTTTGTCTTTGTCATGTATGATGGTAAATGAGTCGATTCATCAGGGAAACAATCCGCAAATTAATTCTTAATGAAAATAATCACTAGTTGCTGCCATAATGTTTTGATTACCATTTTTGTATCGTGTCATAATTCTTTTATTCTTTCTTTACTCATAAACGGTGTCTGGTGAGATATGGAGCCAATTCTTCAAAGTGAGTGACTCACGGATGAAGTGTGCGGCTACCTGCACCGAGGCTGCGGAGGTGGCAGCTTTCATCAATCCTGCCGACAGGTGTGCACCTCCGGCGCAGCATGGCCTAAATGCTGCGCAGCCCTGGGCTTGTTGTGGGTAGAGCTTGGTCAGGCTTGGAAATAAAACACCAAAGAGCTGCTGATATTCTCTACCTGCCACTGTGGCAAAGAGCAAATAAAGATTTTTGTGGTGCCTTTTATTTTCTAAAAGTCTATTTAGCTGGCTTTGCTTTTCTCTTTCTGCCTCCATTCACAGACCAGCCTTTGTTGGGTTTTGTGTTTTTTTTCCTCTTTTGTCAGCCGTTCTGTTGTTTCTCTGCCAGAGCTGCAATTTTACTTGACTAATGTGTCAACTTTCTGATGCCTTTTGAACCACACTTTGTCAAATCACTGCATGATTCACAACTAGCGCTGAGAAGGACGAACTGAAATCAGACACACCGTGAGTGACTGGCCGGACCGCGGTGAGCCGAGAGGAGGGGCGGTGAGGGGGTTAATGCTGATGGCTGCGGTTTGCTTTGCCTCAGCTTCAGTTTAATGCGTTTTAACTCTGCTTGTATCCCTGACATGCACCAGCCTGGATTCTACCACGGGGCCAAACACAGCTACGGTGTGGAGAGCTTACTCAGTATTTTCACTCATGTTCCTGCAAGAAGACAATTGCTGTAATTCTTTTGCAACTTATTCCCAGCAAAGATGATTTGTCAGCTGGGCAGCAGCTTCAGAAAAAAAAAAAAAAAAAAACAGAACAAATGCTTTTGATCTGGTTGTACAGACGGTTGGAGCTGGTAGCAGCTCTTATCCTGTTGAGCCTCTCTTGGCTCGCTCTCCTGTGGAAAAGCGAGGAGTGATTCCACCCATTAGGCATCGCAAAACACGTTAGGCCACCGAACGCAAACACCAAAGTGACATGTTCAATCATGTTCCTCCATTACATTCCTGACATTAGTAATCCATTCCTCCATTTTGCAGGAGGCAAATGCCACTGGGAATGTGAGATATTAAAGAGGGGATTATGGAAGTGGAGAGTGAGGGGGTGGGAGGATTTTTTTTCCAACACAAAAATGTCTTGTTTGGAGATTAAAGCCTCCACTGCTCTTTGACTAGTCCTGAGCAAATATAAAGTACCAGACCTGCCGTGTGGGCACATGTATATTAGACAACAAATATTATATCTTGAATAAACTTTCCATTCTCCCAACAGATGCTTGGTCGGACCAGGATGTGAGAATCTCTGCAGCAATCAACGCCGTCACACAGCACACACTGCAAAGTTTGACCCGTGCAAATATTTAATCTTTATTAGCTCCACTAATGACGCCAGAGTGCACAATCTACTCGCTATGAATAATTAATCGCTGAGGAATTCAGGTCCACAACACAAGCCGATGTAAAGGTTTGTGCTTTCTTTGCTGAGGACTGCAGAGTGTGTGTGTGTGTGTGTGTGTGTTTGCTGAAAAGCTTACAAAACCAGATAAGAGGATGAGTGCCAGACGCTCGAGCAGGTACGCAACTCTTTTCTAACAGAGCACAGCATGGAGCAAAGATTATCAGCGTCTTACTTTCCTCACCTAAACGCTGCCACATACTCTGTGTTCATCTGTGTCATTTCATTTTATACACCAGTGTTGAGGAAATCATTATCCTCACTTCACTTCACTTCACTGTCCTTTCCAGGGGAATGTGCCTCGGAGAAGTCATCAAAAATACAACAGACGACATGCAAAACATAAATACATAACTACATAACTAATACATAAGTGTGTGTGTGTGTCTGTGTGTGTGTGTGTGTGTGTGTGTAGACATATTTCCAAAAAACACTTATCAAAGAGAAGCAAGCTAAAACAGACTTCAATTTGTATTACGCCACATTAATATTAGATCAGTATCACTGTAATTACTTGTCTGACTTGTAAATATCAAATACATCAACATCCGGGTCATGACAATGACTGAGAAACTACCAATATATCCAACTTGGTACACAATAATATGCAGGTGATTGAACAGGCAAAGTCTCTTATTTGAAGTGATTAAATCCACATTTTAATGAATGTAACTCAACAGCTGTAGTTGTCCGATGACGTTCCAAAGTCAAAGTCAAACATCCGTCATCTCAAAAGGTAAAAGCTGGAACTCTTCCTTCAATCGTTAAGTTTGGCCTTCATGCAGCACCTGTCGCTCAAACACCTGTCACTGATGTGCGTGATCGTTTCATATCATTTCACAACCTCTGCCTGGTTCTAAATATTTAATGCCCCAAGACAGGAAATGAAAGAAAATTAGAGATTCAATTAAAGATCTAATTAAAGTAAACGTAATTATAATAGAAAAATTCAGCATTAAAAATGTTTTATTTTGGAAGGAAAGTGTCTTTATAGCGACGGACTTTGACTTGCTTTTAAAATTTAGTTTGTTACCTTCTATCAAGCAATCAAACTTTATTTAAACTGCTCCCTTCATGTGGGTTATTGTAACACAAGGTGCTTTACAGGTGACTGACACCTTAGCAACAAACTGGAGACTAATGCACGTGAAAAATCAGATCTTTATAAAGATCCTGTGCTTCTGTTCTGCCACCAGACACTGTGTGTGAGCTGCTTCCAGACAAGGCAGCCAGTATCTCATTTTCAATTTAAACCCTGAAGCTCTCTCTCAGTTGACTGACAGACATCTCCCCTGCCTCCGTGGCCTTGCATCCCCCCCCGCCTCTCGTTATACAACAAGCCTGGGCGTCTGGAATGTCATTCCACATGCATCACCAGGCTTTCACTGTGCGAGCCCAGCAGCCCACTGCCAAAGCCTCAGATCCACTGCTGTCTGCCTGAACCGGAGCGAGCCCTAATCTGCCCCCCAGGTCTGAGCTGGAGGAGGAAGGTGAATGGAGGAGGAGGTGGCGGCGGCGGTGGTGGCGGTGGTCTCCTCACTCTGTTAAGCTATTTAAACTGAGTAAGCGGTGAGAGGGCACACCGGGGTTTTTAAACCACCAGACCCTTAAGAAGGACGAAGATTAAACCCCCTGGTTATGCAAGACTTCAGACCCAGCGCAGGAGGAGGGGTCGGAGGAGGGTGGGATTCTCAGGAGCGACTGTTCAGTCAGTGACAACAGTCCAGGGGTTTACCGACATCCCCTCAGAGCTGCAGCTGAGCGTCCAACCACCTCTCACCTTGCAAACATAAACAACAGAGTAACAGCGTGACCACGCACACACCCACACACACACACACACACACCCCGAACCTTTGCCCTGCCATTTCTTAAATAGACGCTGACACCACTGCCAAGAATGTGTGATTGACTCGTGACTTCTGCTTCCAGAAATACAACTTCACTGACATTGTAATGGCAGAGAGAAAAGGGCACTGATGTAGAGAGTCGAGAGGGAGAGCGGCGCGGCTAGCCACTCCAAAACTTTTCCAAGACGCATCAATCAATCATCCATTTCTAACGCATTCTCCCCGCAGCAGGAGCTCCATCTTTGTTTTGGTTTCAAAGTT